CATGTAACTAGTTGGTATCAGGTACAGTTTGGTCAAACAATTGGACTACATAGCCTAGCCAAGTTGACATATAAAATTAAGTATCACACTTACCAATTCTGCCAACCAAGCCTTAGAAATGTTTCAGACTGTGAAGACAACTAGAAGGGACAGTCCTTAACAGGCAGTTGAAAAACAAACAAGCAAAAAATGTAGCAACATAAAATTATATCTTATCAGTATAGCCAAAAACTGCAAACTTAACTAGATTCCAAAGAAACTACAGCGCTTTGGTCCTTCTGAACTTGTTATTGTTTCATACAAAGGATGTAATATAAGATATTACTAGTAAGTCTATCATCTCATGTGAAAATGTTTAGTGTGAATGGGTTGAGCATACTATTTATTTCATAGTTCACAGAGTAGAACCAATAGTGTAAAATAGATCTACTGAATCATTTAAGTTTACTCGAACACATCAGTGTTTAATTATTGAGTGATTTCTGAATCAGAATTTATCACAGGTTGCTTTTGCGCAGTGGTTATGAATCGGGCTGTGATCATCAGGGTCAGCAGTTCAAAACTATCAGCTGTTCCGTGGGAGAAAGATGAGGCTTTCTACTCCCGTAAAGATTTACAGCTTCAGCAACCCTGTACAGGGTCGCTATGGAGTCCTGGTGTGGCGCTGTGGGTTAATGCGCCAGACTGCAAAGCCGTTTGAGCTGCAGGGTCGGCAGTTCAAGCTCACCAGCTGCTCAGAAACCCTATATGGGGTCGCTGTGGGTCAGAATAGACTCGACGGCACTTAACAACAACAGCAATGCATTAGTGTCCTTGGGAAGGGAGGGAAGAAAGCAAGAGTGGACAGATGGAAAAGTTGAGTTATGATGCAGGCCCAGAAACAGTGTTGGCCTACCCACAGGGAGTTCTGAAGCCAAACGAGCCCTTCATAGTTGTCCTGTTGTTGTTGTTATTGTTGTTATGTGCCGTGGAGTCGGAACTGACTCATAGCGACCCTGTACAGGGTTTCCGAGGCAGTAAATCTTTTTGGGAGCAGGAAGTCTCATCTTTCTTCCGTGGAGCAGCTGGTAGTTTCGAACTGCTCACCTTGCGTTTCACAGTCCGATTCGTAACCACTACGCTACCAGAGCTCCTTATAGTTGTCCTGAGTTAGGCCAAAATGGCTTGGCTTTTATCCCACTACATCGACTCACTATCTGTGGACTGGTCTAGGAAGGGGTTATAATCTTGGACAAAGTAGCTCTTTGCAGCCAAGACAGTTCTGGGGTTGAGGCAGTTTCTGAAGGGGCTGACAGCTGAGGCTTTCTGCCCACAGCACTCCCAGTAACTGGGATGCCAAGTCCTTCCCAAAAGGGATTCTGGGCCATGCATCATGACATCGAACACAGAACTTGGCAATCATCCCCTTTCGCAGCCCCTGTGGATTGCTCTTGGTGTCAGCTGAGAACTTGGCTGTGTGGTCACAGCTTCCTTCTTACCAGTGTTCATCAGTTAATGTCTGATCTTTCACCCATGGTAGGGAACCAAAAGGAGAACAGTGATTGCCAAAAGAGGCCATGGAGAGGTCAGAACAGATGTGTAGATCTCTGTCCAGAACAGTTGGACAGAGAAAGCTTCTCACCTAGAACTTTGGGGTCACCAACATTGAGGGAATCTGCTATAAACAAGGGTCAAGTGTGGGGCTTCAGTGCAAGATCCACCAGGTTGTGAAAATTATACTCCTATTACAGCGCTCTCTAAGTGTGAAGGAATGAGACTGAAGTTCACTGAGAACAAGTACTGGCAAGCCGAGCTTATGTGTGGAAGCATAGCCCAGGTGAAGGTGGGGTTTGGACAGTGGCATACTTCCTCCAGTATATGAGTTGGACATGCTGGCTCTGGCTAAAGTTCCAGTGATGCCTTGGACAACTCTCCAGAAGTTACTAGCACCCATCATCACTTGGAGCCTGGATATCTTTACTGTTCTGTGGAGTGTTGGCCTCATCAGGATCTCTTCCCCTAACCAGGATGTTACTGAGCAACAAAAAGGAATTCTTGGCCAGTGAAGGCTGAGTAGGCCACAGTACCAGCTTCAACACAAGTTATGTGTGCATCAATATAATGGGTTGGATGGATGTCATGGATGAGGATCTGGCACACATTCTTGATCTTTGCTTGATTAACTGCAATGTGTGGGGTATACAATGAAAAGCCAAAATTCAGGAGCAGGAGAACCTGCTTTAGCTAAGCAGAGGCTGAATGAAGGGGTAGTATGGGATCTAAGATTTGGGATGTCTAGCAGGATGGCCCTCCAAAACACTGTGAGGGGAATCCAGAAATTAACAACATTCAGCAACCCGAGGGAGCCTCTCAGCAGGTTTGAACCAAGCCTTCACTTCAGTCTCACCAAGGGACCAGAGCAGGATAAATCTCTAGACCAGTGAGATCCTAGCAAGAAGCACATTCAGAGGAGCCATGGACATGGATTTAATGAAGGGACAGAAGAGTGGGAGAAGCCAGAGAACAAGGAAACTCATGGAGTAATACAGTCCCTCCTGGGTAGACACCAGGGAGAAAAGGGCAGTGAATGGCTCTTCAGGGGCAAATCACAGTCAGTTCCTAAAACATATTTGGACTCGAGGGAACGAACCTCACAACCAGGGTATCAGAGCAGGCCCAGACTAGCAGCTTCCAGGGCTTGGTTTGCTGGATCTTAGGACTGGTCACCTACTCAGATGTGATTCCCCACTGTGTGATGGTCAGGTGGCCTCTGCTGAAAAGAGAAAGGTCCAACCAAAAACAGTTTAAAAGAAGACAACAGCTGTAAGAAGTTTAGCTTTTATTAGACCTCCTGCTCTTTGGTAAGAGTAGGTTTTCCTAAGTGGGTAAAAGAAGGCAGACTGTCACCCATCATGACTGTTGGCTGTAGCCTATAGATGGGATTCTCTGGGGGCTCCCTTGGCTGCCTCTGGCTTGGCCCCACTGCAGCCTGGGTGAGCCATCTGGGCTGTGATTTCACTCTCACTGTATTATGTGACTATCTATGATCTCAGCATGTTGCCCTGGCACTGTCACATCCTGGAGACCCCATTTCCATTCTATTGTGTTTGCTCACAGATGGCAACTGTAAAACTGGCAAAATAGATCCCATTGTTTGGACCTGTCTGGTTAATCTCAGAAGCCTCATTTTAGAAAATAACACGATATCCATTCTCATATCAACTTTAGAACTTAACACTGTGTGACTGATGGTTTTATCTTTTCATACTTTTGAGAAAAATTGGATGCAGCTTCCTTTTATAAGCAATGTAACTGCAGAAGCATTAGCAATTGGTGCAAAAGCTCTCTCTCGTCACATGGGATGCGTTGGCAGTGGGAAGTAGGAGCAGTGGGATACTTTGTATACATTTGGACACTCATTTTATTGAGGATCTCCTTTTAATATGTAGATGATGGAATACCCTGTGACATTTTATTTTCCCAGTTACCTTGGAAGAATAAGTATTATTCTCAATTGAGGGATTGTTGTTGTTGTCTGGTGCCGTCAAGTCGGTTCCAACTCATTATGACTCTGTGCACAACAGAACAAAACACTGCCTGAACCCGCACCATCCTCACAATTGTTCATGTGTTTGAGTCTATTGCTGTTGCCACTATATCAATCCCTCTCATTGGGGGTCTTCCTCTTTTTCTCTGACCCTCTACTTTACCAAGCATGATGTTCTATTCTAGGGACTTAGTCCCTCCTGATAATACGTCTGAAGTATGAGAGACGAAGTCTCACCATCCCTGCCTCCAAGGAGCACTCTGGCTGTACTTTGCCCAACACAGACTTCTTTGTTCTTCTGACAGCCCATGGTACTTTCAGTATTCTCCTCCAACACCAAAACTCAAATGTATCAATTCTTCTATAGTCTTCTTTATTCAATGTCCAAATTCCACATGCATATGAGGCTATTGAAAATACCTTAGTCCTCAAACAGATATCTTTGCTCTTGAACATTTCTTTAAAGAAATCTTGTGCAGTAGATTTGCCAAGTTCAATACATCATTTGATGTCTTGATTGCTGCTTCCAGGAGTGTTGATTGTGAATCCAAGCAAAATGAAGTCTTTGACAACTTCAATCTTTTCTTCATTTATCAGGAAGTTATTTATTGGTCCACTTGTGAGGATTTTGTGTGTGTGCGTGTGTGTGGATAGAAAACTGAAATTAACTTGATCCTTAAAGGTAAACAAGGTTTATATAATCAGGGCTAGTGCCAACTCTTTCCACTAACTAAACTGTCAGTTTGTCGTACTGTGGTGGATTGTGAGTTGTTGTGATTCTGAAAGCTATGCCACCAATATTTTAAATACCAGCAGGGTCACCCATGGTGGACAGGTTTCAGATGAGCTTACAGATGAAGACAGACTAGGAAGAAAGAGTGACGAACTACTGTAGAATATTTAGTCACTGAAAACCTTATGAATAGCACAGAAACACTGTCAGCTATAGTACCGGAAAATGAGCCCCTCAGGTTAGAAGGCACTCAAAATGCAACTGGGGAAGAGCTGCCTCCTCAAAGTAGAGTTGACTGTGATAATGAGAATGGAGTAAAGCTCGAGGGAGAAAAGCCTTCATTTGCTGATGGGGCACAACTCAAAATGAAGAGAAACAGCTATAAACATCCATTGAAAATCAGAACATGGAACGTACAAAGCATGAATCTGGGAAAATTGGAAGTTGTCAAAAATGAAATGGAACGCATCAACATCAGTATCTTAGGCATTAGTGAGCTGAAATGGACTGGTATTGGCCATTTTGAATCTGGCAACCACATGGTTTACTATGCTGGGAATGACAAATTGAAGAGGAATGGTGTTGCATTCATTGTCAAAAAGAACATGTTCAGATCAGTCATGGGGTGCAACGCTATCTGTGATAGGATAATATCCATGCGCCTACAGGGAAGCTCAGTTAATACCACTATTATTCAAATTTACGCACCAACCACAAAAGCCAGTCAGGATGAAATAGAAGAATTCCGTTTTGGAAGAAGTGCAGCCAGAATGCTCCTTGGAGGCCAAGATGGCCAAACTTCGTCTCTCCTACTTCGGACATACTGTCAGGAGGGACCAGTCGCTGGAGAAGGATATCATGTTTGGTAAGGTGAAGGGTCAGAGAAACAAAGCAAGACCCCCAATGAGATGGATTGGCCAAGTGGCAGCATCAATGGACTTAAGCGTGGCAACAGTAGTGAGGTTGGCCCAGGATTGGGCAGTGTTTCATTCTGTTGTGCATAGGGTCGCTATGGGTCAGTACCAACTCTATGGCACCTAACAACAACACAACAGTGCCAACTCTTTAAATAAGCAAAGTTATTTCAATATCAGTAGTTGAATTTACAGTTGAAATAAAAGGTTATTGATCTTTCTCATTAAATTTAAAACATAACTGGTAAACACATAGCAATGTTGTTGTTGTGAGTTGCCACCAAGTTGGCTCCAACTTATTTCAACCGTATTCATAACAGAACAAAATGGTACCCAGTCCTGCACCATCTTCATGATTATTCTTACGTTTGAGTTCACTGTTGTGGACATTGTGTTACTCCATCTTATTGAGGGGTTCCCTTATTTTCTTTCATTAGCCCTCCATTTTATCAAATATGGTGCCCTTTTTCCATGATTGACTTTTACTGATGTGCCAATGTAAGTGAGTTGAAGTTTCACCATCCCTGCTTCTAAGCAATTCTGGTTGTCTTTTGTTTGTTCTTCTGACAGTCCACAGAAAATTCATTAATCTTTGCCAACACCACATTTAGAATGCATCAATTCTTCTTCGCTCTTCCTTTTTCATTATCCAACTTTAACATGCATTGTTGTTGTTGTTGTTAAGTGCCATCGAGTCGGTTCCGACCCATAGCGACCCTGTACAGGGTTTCCGAGGGTGTAAATCTTTATGGGAGTAGAAAGCCTCATCTTTCTCCGGCGGAGCAGCTGATAATTTCGAACCACTGACCTTAAGGTTCGCAGCCCGTAACCACTACGCTACCAGAGCTCCTTTTAACATGCATAGGAGGTGATTAAAAATAGATCAGGAAAACACATAGCAGTAACAATACCAAGCTTTAGCCTAGCAGGACAAGATGCTGCTAGAATACATTGTGATTTAAAGTAGGGGATGATACCTACTTGAATTGTACACATAAACCTATCACTAAAAGCACAAAAACCCCATACCTCCTTGAAAACTTTCCTTGATCCATAGTGCATTTCCAAGGAAAGGGGTCTTGTTTACCTGTGTTTTGGCTGTACTCACATACAGAGGACACAACTTTTGATGGTGGCTTTGTCTAACATAAAGAGAGGTGATTGTAAAATATCTAAAGATAGAAATGGGTAGAAATTTAAGCATAGTATATGAGGGAGTTTCAAAAGGTTCATGGAAAAAATATTGGAATTAAAAGATAATGTAATTTTCCCCGGAACTCTTGAAACCCCCTGGTATGAACTTTTTCTTATGTTATAAAAATACCTTTGATTAGCCCAATAAGTATTTGGAAACTTCTCTTCTCAAAATTAATTTTAACTTGCTGAATTCTATGAGTTTTTATTATTTTTCATACCATTTAAGATTATATTTTGTCAACCTAATTTGATTATTCCTAAGGTCATGTCAGCCTTATTAGAAGGGAAAAACTAATCTTACTGAAAGGAAGAAAACCGCAATTTCAACTCCATGTATGCTACTGGATTTTCTTACAAATTCATAGATACTTCCCATTGAAATGTCTTACTGTAAGCGCATGGGGAGAATAATGTGGTGGTGAAATCACTCATGTTGCTTGATGAGCTCTTACATTTGGGAGAAATAAAAATAACTTTGTTTCAGTGAAGCATGGAATTTAATTGACATCCGATCTTTTCCCCTCATGCATCTGGTGATCTGGTGATCTTACATCTACAGTAGAAAATTTAAAACTAGAAGGAGACATAATGCAATTAAATTTTCTTTTAAAAATGTCAAAGCCAGTAAATCTCAGCCCCATTAGCTGACACACAGCTTCTCTGTCCTTACTGGGCTGCTGTTATTACTGTGTTTCCATCCAGTGCCATCTTCACTTCCCATTTCAAGGGGGTGTGGTTTTTACAGATCTGCAGCTGCAACTTTCCCCATTGCTGAACAAGTCATTTATGGCTGACTTGTTTGATACCTTAAGTGACTCCATGAAAGGTGTCTTAGGCCCTCTTGAAGGCACTGATCCCCAGCCACTTTAGAATCATGATTTGGTATCATGGTGGAATTTTACTGCGCCTTTTATATTATTCCTCCTTCTAGAAAACACTACATGGTACTTAGAGTTTATGCTCCAGATTAAGTTTAGTTTTGTTTTGAAATTTTGGTACTACCACTCGAAGTATCTGCAAGTCTTATGGCAGACTTGATCCATCCATGACTTGCCAAGAAATTGCTTTTTACTAAGCTGCTCTGTGGTCTTTATAGGCATTTTATTAATTATGATCAATGCAAAACTGTATCATATTTTCGTTTGACTTCTCCTACAAGTAGATTGGAGATGAGGATTTGCAGGTAACTAGGACTGCAAGGTCGGTTTGAATTGCAAGGTCGGTGGTTCAAGGTCACCAGCTGCTCCTGGGAAGCCCTATACGCGGTCTCTATGAGCTAGAATCAGCTTGATGGCACTTAACACCAACAACTGTAAGTGCTTGGGAGGGAAGTCAAAGGAACACTGGAATGGGAGCTAGAGTGAGAAAGGAAAGGGAAGGAAGCTATTAAAACCATTTGCCTTGGCATCAACTCAGACTCCTTGGGGACCCTATATGTGTTAGAGTAGAGCTGTGCTCCATAGGGTAGTCAGTGGCTGGTTTTTCAGAAGTAGATCTACAGACCTTTCTTCAGGGTAGACTCTAACCTCCAACCTTTCAGTTTGCAGTTGAGTGCCTTAACTATTTCAACTACCCAAGGACACCTTAGAAACGAGGGCATATTATCAAATCAGTTACAACTGTAGGTGACTGGGCTTAATTCCACTGTGAAATGCTGGGACCCCATGGCCAGCACATACCTCAGAACGATCCCACCCAAAGTGCAGGGACGCTATGGGATTTACTCATCAATTCCCAATAGTCGCTGGGTGAAATAAAGGGAAGGAATTAATTCCTAGACGCTTGTGGCTTACCACAGGGGCAGTCAAAGCTGCCCACACAGGCCAAAGAAAAGACCCACATGCAAAGGAGTGTAAGGGCTGGTGGTTGAAAGTAAGGTTAGTGTGTCCCGAAGTAGAAAGGGCAAAGAGTCAGGGAAGGGCAGCCCATACACATCCATAGTTCAGATTTGAATGTGCACTGACAGAGGAATTCTTTTAAAGACACATCCTTATCTGAAATGAGAATGAAAATTAATGACTATTGTAGATGAGCACTCCTCTTGTCAGATCACCACACTGTCATCTACCTGCTTTACTGGTAAACCAACAGAAAACAGGGTTTTCATTATATTTTAGAGTGTAGGATAAATAAAAGGTCAGCGGAGACAAAGAATATTTTAACTGACTATATATATTTTTAGAAATATTCTGGAATATTTGCAGATTTATTAGAAAAATTAGACAGTGGTACCACCAGTTCCTATTAAGTCATTTCTGATTACGACCACCTCATGTGTGTCAGAGTAGAACTGGGCTCCATAGGGTTTTATGTGGCTGATATTTCAGAAGTAGATCGCCAGAGCTTTCTTCCAAGGTGCTTATGGAAACTGCCAACTTTTAGGCTAGCAGCTGAGTATTAGCTGTTTGCACCACCTAGTGACTCCTAGGTAGTGATATTATGGGGTTTTCTCATGTCACCAAAAATCTCTTCATTTTATAAAGAGATTGGCTCTGTGCTTCCTTTTGTTGTTTTCAGGTGCTGTCGTGTAGACTCCACCTCATGCACAACAGAATGAAACACTGCCCAGTCCTGCGCCATCCTCACAATTGTTACTACACTTGAGCCCATTGCTGCTGCCATTGTGCCACTGGGGGGTCTTCCTCTTTTTCACTGACCCTCCTCTTTACCAAACATGACGTCCTTCTCCAGGGACTGGTCCCTCTTCATAATATGTCTGAAGTGTGAGAGATGAAGTCTGGCCATCCTGTGCTTCCTTTAAATAAACCTGATTAAACAAAATTAATAAGAAAGTACTCTTTCCTTTGAAGGAAAATTAAACTATGAAGAAGGTACTCCTCTCCCCCACCCCACACCCTTTAAACCTCCTCTAGTTCCTATTCTCATTTTGATCCCAAATTTTCTTCTTATCAGTCCCCTTTAAGCTAGTAGTAATGTGTGGAAATCTCCTTCAAGTATGGAGCTGGGCAAAGAGTGGCTTTTCAGTTTCTCAAGGCCAGCAGAGGCGCCTGTGGTATTTATCTGGTATTGTTGTTGTTGTTGTTAAGTGCCGTTGAGTCGATTCTGACCCATAGCGACCCTGTATAGGGTTTCCAAGGAACAGCTGGTGAGCTTGATCCACTGACCTTGCAGTTCAAACAGCTTTGCCGTCTGGTGCGAATGCATCACAGCGCCACATCTGGTATTGGTGGTGGTGGTCATGTGCCGTGGAGTCGGTTCCGACTCATAGCGACCCTGTACAAGGTTTCCGAGGCTGTAAATCTTTATGGGAGCAGAAAGCTTCATCTTTCTCCTGCAGAACAGCTGGAAGTTTCGAACTGCTGACCCTGAGGTTCGCAGCCCGATTCGTAACCACTACACTACCTGGTGTGGCGCTGTGGGCTAATGCGTCAGACTGCAAAGTCATTTGAACTGCAAGATTGGTGGTTCAAGCTCACCGGCTGCTCCTTGGAAACCCTATACAGGGTGGCTATTGGGTCAGAATCGACTCGATGGCACTTAACAACAACAACAAGGGTTGAAAGAAGCAGACGATTTTTGTCTTTTTATCTTGTCATCCTTAATTTAAAATCTCAAGGTATTGACTTGAGTTTCATTTTGCCCATGTCTGACTTGTTGCTTATGAATTTGATTCTCATCTCCAAATTCATTATCACACAGTAAGCTATTTTCTTTCTTGTTCTTTTATTGTTAGAATTTAAATCATGATTCCTTGCTTAAAAAAAAAAAAAAAAGACTTTTGCTACATACATAATAAGCTAAAATAAGGAAAGATCTAGTACTGATCAGTTCCATAGCAGAATGTATTTCCTAAATTATTTCCTCATAATTATATGAGTGGCATAATACAGTTATTATGTGTCATATAATGTATTTGAATCTTTGGGTACTCAAAACTTTTCCTTTAAAACAACAACAAAAGAAAGACCAGGGAATAGTGATTTTAAATGTATGTAATTGTACTGTTCCTCTATGACAAGATAGAATTTGTAAGTACCATTTCTGAGTGAAAATTGCTTTCAGTTTTATGATGAGATTTTTGAGGATATGTTAAATAATAGAGTTGCGTGACTATTGATCTCAGCCTTCATTTGTTAAAGTAGAATTTAAAATATATCCAGGGATTTCCTGTATATGTTTTACATTATATATTTTAAGCCATTCAGTGTAAGGAAAGCCATTGCAAGAACTTCCCTGTGGTATGCATTGTGGAAAGCAACCCTTAGGAGTCTTGTTAGCCGTCATTCATCTGTGTGGTCATTTCTTTCTTTAGACCACAGTTTGGGAACTCCGGGACAAACTTCGACAGAAGGCATTTGTGAGAGAAAAGAGTAGTTCAATTCAAGAAGCACTTGTCTTCCACTTAACTTTTCTAGTTGAAAATGATAGGCCCAAATGCAGCTCTGTAGGATGGGAGCCAGCTGCTTGTGAAGAGGCCCACTGCTCTGCTTGCCTCTGGAGGGTAACCCAGCACATAAGCACCGCTTCATCACTGGGGTTGCAACCCAGGACCCTCCACTTATTGGCAACATAACTTTAGACAGACTCCTTAACCCTCCTTTGCCTTTCTTTCTTTTACTGTAATTAAAAGTTGGCTGCCATTAAGTCAGTCCCAACTCAAAGAGACCCTATATGTGTACGAGTAGCACTGTGATCCATAGGGTTTTTAATGGCTGACTTTTGGGAAGTAGATTGCCAGACCTTTCTTCCAAGGCGCCTTTACCCTTAACAGCCAAGAACATTATCCATTTGTAAAATCCAGGGACTCCATTTTGTAAATAAATATCATAAAAGTACCTACCTGTTAGGGTTTTTCTGTGATGGTTAAGTAACTTAATATATGCAAACCACTTTTTAAAAAATACCTGCCCTATGGTTGTTGTTGTTATGTGCTGTTGAGTGGGATGTGACTCATAACGACCCTGTATAGGGTTTTCCAGGCTCTAAATCTCTACAGGAGCAGAAAGCCTCATCTTTCTCTCTTGGAGTGGCCAGTGGATTTGATCTGCTGACCATATAGTGCCATTACCAGGTTTACAGCCCAACATGTAAACCATTACCAGGTTTACAGCCCACTACACCACCAGGACTCCTGTCATATGGTATGTGCCATTGAATTTATTGTTATTATTACTAGGTAATAATATGATGCATTCCGCTGCTAACCACAAGGTCAGTGGTTCAAACTCACCACCTTCTCCATGGGAAAAAGAAGAAGCTGTCTGCTCCCATAAAGATTTACAGTCTCAGAAATCCTATACAGGGTCTCTGTGAAGCTGAATTGACTTGATGGCCATAGGTTTGTTTTTTTGATTTTATAATCTTGCAAAGGTCTACAGGTACTTCATCATCAGCATGACTCATCTCTTAAATTAAGGGTTTATGCCTTATTTAGAAGGAGTTCCAGTAGCATAGTGGGTTACGTGTTAGGCTCCTAACCACAAGGTCATCAGTTCACATCCACCAGATGCTCCATGGGAGAAAGATGAGGCTTTCTGCTCCCATGAAGATTTATAGCCTCAGAAACCCTATCCCAGTCGCTATGAGTCAGAACCGACTTGACAGCACATAACAGCAGCAACAGTCTTATTTCAAGATGTCAATACGATACTCTTCCAATTCTGTCAATGCTACTGATTCCCATCACTTTACATCTCATTCCTGTTTCAGTGACTTCCACATATTTGCACAATTCTGGATTCTAGAGCCCTGTGATATACAGAACCAGCTTGTTGATGTTTAAGGTGAGAACCACCTTAATGCCTCATAGATACCTCAAACACAGAATGTCCAAAATTGAACTTAATATCACCCTCCACTTCCTACTTGCCCACTAAAACACTTTAAAAAAAAAAAAAATTCTCTTCTTCCTGCTTTCCTTATTTTGGTTATGGCATCATCAAGGACTCTGTTACTAAAATTAGACATTTTAGAACCACCCCTACCCCTTTATTTTATCACCATATCCAACCAGGCATCTACCAGGTAATATATGATCCATAGCAGCAGCATCTTTCAGATATAGCTATTGTTTTCCATTTCAACTGCAGTCACCCTGGTGTGGACACAGCCATTCCCCCCCAGAACTACTGTAGTAGCCTCCACATTGATTTTCCTGCTTTACATTATTCTTCGTACTGCCATCAAATGATCTGCTGAATCTCAAATCTGATTTCTGTCATTTATCTGACTGAGACCCTTCTTTGACTTTCCCTACTAACCCACACAATCATGTAAAAACCATCAGAGAAACTAGCACAGTTCAGCCCTGGCGTCTCCTTCCCACCACCTGTCATGTGTCCCAAACCACATTAGATTACTCACCCTTTTTGGAAAACAGATGTTAAGTCTCCAGACCTTTGCATCATCTATTCCCTATGCCTGGAACACCTTTCACCACTTTAAACACCTGCTGAACTCATCCCATAAGACCCAACTGAAATATCACTTCTAAAATTCTATCATATAAAGTTACGTGTTTCTGTGACATCCGTTGACTCTGGATAGCCTGTCACAGTAGTTGCTGTTGTTGTTGTTGTTGTTGTTAGATACCATTGAGTCGATACCGATTCATAGAGACCTTATGCATAGCAGACGAAACATTACCCGATCCTGAGCCAACCTCACTACTGTTGCCACGCTTGAGTCCATCGATGCTGCCGCTTTGCCAATCCATCTCGCTGGGGGGTCTTCCTCTTTTGCTCTGACCAGCGACTGGTCCCTCCTGACAATATGTCCAAAGTATGAGAGATGAAGTTTGGCCGTCCTGGCCTCCAAGGAGCACTCTGGCTGCACTTCTTCCAACACAGATCTATTGGTTCTTTTGGCAGCCCATGGCACTTTCAATATTCTCCTCCAACACTGTAAATCAAAACAATCAATTCTTCTATGGTCTTACTTATTCACTGTCCAGCTTTCACATGCATATGAGGTTATTGAAAATACCATGGCTTGGGTCAGGCTCACCTTAGTCCTCAGGCTGACATCTTTGTTCTTCAACACTTTAAAAAGGTCTTGTGCAGCAGATTTTTCTAATACAATATATCATTTAATTTCTTGACTGCTGCTTCCATGTGTGTTGATAGTTGATCCAAGAAGAATGAAGTCACAGTAGTAAAGATACAGTATCTCTTAGATATGACAGCAGTTAACCTTAACATAAATACATAAATCCATATTTGTTTTTATTTTTATGTAACATAGATACATAAATAGCTACAGTTGTAAACTTCCCCCCATGTTGTTAGTAATATCAGTTGACTATTGTAGCCTATGTAGTGTATATGTGTGTGTGCAGAGCTTATTCCCAAGAGCAGACTAGGAGTGATTCAGCGCTGGTACCACTGTTATATTGCAGAAACCAAGTACCTAGCTTGACTACCAGGTTGGATTTTAAGCATTGAGGTATTAATAAAGTATAGGAGGAGCTCGTGCTGCAGTAATAACAAACAACCCCCCTTCCCCAGATTGCAGTTGTTCATAACAAACAGTTGTTTTTCACGGGCCCCTAAGCCTGCTGGGCATGGATGGCTTAGCTCCAGCAAGTCAAGAGTGGTCTGCTTCATCTGTGTCATTTGAGACCAGAGTAACCTGGAACATGTTCTTCTCATGGTGATTGAAGAGGTGAGGTACAAAGGCCAAACCAAGCCATACCATCATATTCAAGCTTCTGTTCATGTTTTATCTGCTAATATTACATGGGCCAAACAAAGCCAGTCATGTGGCCAAGCCTATGTCAAAAGGAGTTAGGAGAGGCACTCCTGGTTTTCCAGTGGGAGGTACTGCCAAGTCATATGGTAAAGGGTGTTGATGTGTAATTCTAGTACAGGGAAGCAGTGAAGAATCAAGAACAAGAATCTAATCTCCCACAAAGGTCTTACGATGCTGAAGTAGATTGTAGGAATGTCTACTTTGAAAACAAACTGTTTATTACCTCTATAAAGACAAAGAACACTTTTTGATATTGCATTTACAATGATATATTTTGGAATATGGTCTAATTATAACTATCCTTGTTTTTGTTTTTTCTAGAAAATTGAAGATGTTTGGATGGGGTCACCATCACCCATTCCTGTGAAATACATAAGCTACATGCCCCTTTTAAAGGATGTGTTTGATTTGGAGGAGGACTAAACCATGCCAATTTTTGTCAGCTTTCTTTGATTTGCTGTTCTAATTTTGCCAAATTTATTTTAGTAGATATAATTTCATTAAAAGCAAAAAAGAAACAAGATGCATTGTATTGAAATTCATAAACCACCATTAATCTTCTTTTGTCACTTTAGATTTTCAAAATATCATATCATATTACTGATGTACTGGTGCTATTAAAAGTGCCATTTGAAGAAATGTCTAGCATTTTTATTAGATGCCTGATTTATTAACACCAAAGAGTCTTATGATAGTTTTCCATCCAACAAAATTTGATTCATTCCAATATGAAAAGAAAATGAATTTTTATGTTTACATATGACAAAAGAAAATCAAATTATATAGGAGCATTAAGTTGTAATTCTATTAAATATTTTCTGAAATCTCCTTGATGTATGTGCATTATTTATATAATTAAGTTTCATAACAGCCTACCTCATCAAAATAACTCTTCAATTTCTCTCAAGGGTGAAGATACTTATTTTCTGCAACTAGTGAAGCTATGAGAAGAAAAGGTACCCCCCTGCACATGCATACATGAAAATTTGAGAGATAAACTGAAACATATACAGTGTTTATATTTTTAATGCCCTTTTCCCAAGGGAAGTCAGCTTGTTAGTTTAGGAATATATGCATGTATATGTAATTATAGCATGACCAAAAATGTCTTAAGACTAAAATATTGAGGGGTGTGAATGCTGAAGATTTTGAGAGATATTTTTTTATTCGTTTCACACACACGCAACCCTCCCCTCCCCGCTCCCCCCCTCCTGAAGTTAAAAAAAAAAACACCTAAAACTGTTAAGATTTTTTTCCTCCCTGGATTTTCTGTAGTTCTCCTTTTATTTTTGAATCTTCTAGGCTTAAAACATCATGAGTTCATGACCCTGGTCCTCTAGGAATTCTGTGTAAGCAGTCTATCCCAGTGCACCTCATTCTTCGGGTTGGGTCCCAGTTGTTTGATGCTCTCAGAAACAATGGAAGCCCATCAAGAAGGGACTGCTCCATTTCCCTTTCAGGGACTGCTCTGAAGAGGAGTAGCAGGAGGCCATTTCAAGCGCCCTTTCAGTCTCATTATTCTTTCATTCCACATTAGCAGCAGCAGTTCGCCTAGAAATGAGCTGGTTTCTTGGCACTCAGATGTACAACTTGCTTGACAACAATGACGCTTTCATTTTTTGAAGTTAACCAGTAAACTGTGCTTGTATCTTTAAGCCTACACTAACTCTGAGTGTGCTATTGTTAGATCAGGCACCATTCACCTTTCTGATAAGCCAGAGGACTCAGTTTATATACTAGAACCATCTACCCATAAAATCTCATTTTGATGACTTGATTTTTGCCCTAGGTTTTTTTTAAAGACAACTGACAGTGCCAAGCCATTTTGTCACTTTAAGATTTCTTTATTCTCCAGAGAGTAAGCTTTTAGAAAGATGACACTTTCCTGTGACTTTTTGAGCTGACAGATTTGTCACTTACCTTTTCAACTTTTCAGTTAGTTGTCTTCCCTTAAGATTTTAAATATGCAGATAATTTAGCCCTTTTACAGACTCATACAGTTCATTTGAGGAAGGGGAAGAGTAAAGGAAGAGATGCAAACCAGTGATATACTCCTGAGTTCATGGTGGGGCAACTGCTCATTCTGTTCCATAGATGTGTCTTTCTGCCCTGGCTGTTGGCGGTCCAAGCCCACAATTAGCAATTAAATGGCCATTATAAGAATCATGCCGATAAACATGATACATTGCTGTCATATAGACACTTTAAATAATTATTCTTTTTATAACTAAGCCATATACTGAAGAAAATTTATAATTTAGAGATAATATCTCCATTAGTAAAGTTTATGACCCAATAAACAGTTCCCACTAGTTAATAAATGCCAAAGCCGTAAAAACAAAGACTATTAATGTAATAGAATTTCTGTATCTCCCACTTTTGCTGGTGGTCTGAGGCACTGAAGGGAAATGCTATCTTAGGAAAAACATTTATTCTCGTTATATAAATATCAATGAATTGTCTTACAATCCATCTGGAAACCTCCCAGCCCCCCTTGGTCCCAGGTGGTTGAGAACAGTGGATGCATTCTGCTTAGGTTTCAGGGAGCAGAAAACTCTGGTATTCAGCACAAATAAACCCTGTGACTCAATTTTTTGAGGGAGGTAGGGAGGAGAACTGGGATTTCTGCCTTTTCTCTTTTTAAAAAAAAGAGACATTCTAACTATTATCATTATTCCAGGGTAGCGATTTTTTTTTTTTTTTAAAGCTTCACAGCCTTTGCAAATACTTATATTTTTAGTTGCTAACATTTTCTCACTTTGACAGAATAGCAAGCACTGCCTGTGGCTGGCCGGGTGAGTTGAAGGTTAATATAGGCAAACCTTTTGTACTAAGAAGTAATTGTTGTTTTAGTATTCTTGGAACCGTGGGAATGATTGATAAAGTCATTTGAAAGCCCAAATCACAGCTTTTCAGAAGAAACTGATTAAAAGCTGTTGAAGTTCACATTAAATTGTTTGCTGAGTCACTGTTGAATATATGGATACTGTCAGCAGATAACTAATTTCCAGTGTCTATTTGCCTATTCTTTTCAAAGTAACGATTTGAATCAATTGTAACCTAACTAAAAACTAATGTGAATAAATCTGTTGGTTGATTTTAGTGCTCACTAAAGTAGCTAATTTTTTTTTTTTTTTGTCAACAGAGATGAGATCAGGAGTGCTGTAATTGTAATGCATTATAATGCTTTTTTGCCTGCTTTATTCCAGTTATTGCATTGTTCATTCGATTCTGTAAATCTCAAATATTCCATTTTTGTTAGTTTTGTGTTTATACTATGCTTTTTAAGATTGTGAAGTTCCTGGGGGAGGGGGACAAATAGTTTACATGCTTGACCTTAAATCTTCACAAGGGCGGAAAGCCTCATCTTTCTCCCTCGTAGCAGCTGGTGGGCTCCAACCACAGACTTTGTAGTTCGCAGTCCAGTGCTTATTGTATGGAGCCATTTTGCTCCCTTCTTTCAAATAGAAGGAAATGATTGATGAAGCAAATGAACTCTCCCTCATATAAGAACAATATTGGATTTATCCAATAAAGATAAATCCAACAACTTGAATTTATCTCGATTTGAGTGGGGATTACTTCATAACCTTTTTAACTTGTTTCTCCATTCTCCTCCCCCTTCCTCCACACTAACATTATGATTGTGCTCTAAGTTCATTAGCCTTCAATAAATCGCTTAGTCAAACAGTAGGTCTTTCCACAATATATTTTTATGATATTGAATAATGCAAAACACATTGAAGAATGAACTGTCACTCCTCCAATTATGTGTGTATTATCTTTAGTTAAGAATATAATGTCCTGAACTTTTAATACCCTTCAAAATTGTTCTAACAATGACCGCTCAGACAAATGTGGGTATACTCAAGTAATGAGTCTCTTCCCTAATATTTGCTTGTGCAAAAATCAAATTTTGCTTTAAGTTAGAAGGCAGGTTATAACCTTTTTGAAAATAAGTCTTTAAAAGTTGACTTAGAATAGAATCTTCAGAGACACAGTGCTCTTCAGTTCCCAAGAGAATGTTATGTGTGAAACTGGAAAAACCCTTGAGGTAAGATCAAAGAGACTGTTAAGCAAATAATAAAACGGTATCCATAATAGAGCAAACAGCTTTATTACTCTGCAATTAGTTGAAAACAAATTGTAACTCATCCCTCACCTACCTTCTACCAGGTTAGATATTGGTTTAAATATGCATTTTTATTCAAAGGCAATTAAGTTCCCTAAAACTAAGAGTTGTGAAACACCTTTATCAGTAGAGTGGTCAGAATGTGAAAATGCTGATCACCATGTACTTCTTTGCCAGCAAAAGTTGTAAGGGGACTTCTGAGCCCATTATGTCATCTGGTGTGTGTGGTACAGGAACCCATGGGTCAGCACTGCTGCTCAGAAGCCACTAGTAACAGCTAAAATATGAGACTGATGAAAAGCTCCATGGTGCGCTGCAAGCAGGGAATTAATGACTCACTGGAATCAGTAGGAGCCCTATTTCTAAATACTCATTAGTTTAAGCAGTGAGAACTGGTGTTACGCATGTTAGAGAGGGAAAGGGGACCAGTACTCCTCATTGTCTGTTTTGAACAGACAAACTCAAAGTAGTGAATGGTTTAAACACATCAAACCAAGTATTCATCCATCTCCTGGCTTCCTGAGCATGGCTTTGCATCTGTATAACGCCAATAATAGAGGACATACTTATTACTACTCTATTATAATAGGAGCTCTGGTAGCGTAGTGTTTACAAGTTGGGCTGCCAACCTCAAGGTCAGCAGTTCAAAACTACCAGCGGTTCCACGGGAGAAAGATGAGGCTTTCTGTTCCCATAAAGATTTATAGCCTTGGAAACCCTGTGCAGGGTTGCTATGAGTCGGAACTGACTCCACGGTATTTAACAACAAACAACAACATTATATGTGGCACTGTAGGATAAGCACTAGACTGCTAACCATAAGGTTGGTGGTTCAAACCCACTAGCTGCTCCTTGGAAACACTATACAGGGTCGCTATGAGTTGGAGCTAACTTCATGCACTTAACAACATAATATTAAATTGCAGAGTAATTGATTTGTTGTTGTGAAGTGCCACTGAGTCGGTTCTGACTCATAGCAATACTGTATAGCAAGGGTGGGGAATGTCCAGCCCACAGGCCATATAAAGTCCGCAAAATCTTTTGGTTTGGCCCTGCCAAGGCAACTGCAGCTCCAGCAACCACACTATTGTTGTTGTTAAGTGCCGTCGAGTCAATTTTGACCCATAGTGACCCTTGTATAGGGTTTCTGAGGAGCAGCTAGTGAGCTTGAACCACCGACCTTGCAGTTCAAACCGACTTTGCAGTCCAGTGCATTAGCCCACAGCGCCACACAGGACTCCAGTAGCCATCACATTAGGGGTAAGTTAATTTAAATATTTGACCAAATATA